CAGCTCCGCCACCAATGAAGAGATTTGGTTGTGGACTTAGAGACGACGGCTTAACGGTGGCAACCGCTAGTTGCGCAACCGGAAGTGAGCGTGCATACAGCTCCGATACCTATCTGGAAAATAGGGAGGGTACTGTACATGCAGCCGGATTGGCTCACCCGAGGTACTAGCCTCTTGAGAACCGAATGAAGTCAAGTGACAATAGTCTGTGTCAATCCTGTACACTGGCTGATCTGGGGTCAGAACCTGAACTTATAAGGTTCCTGTGCGCGCACAGGTTATAGTGCCCTTCCCGCATAACCAAGAGGTTGACAGGGAGAGTCTCTATAATCAAAAGTTATGTAGAAACGGTATGGGAGCTGTCCTCTCGCATCTCCTACTTTCCCTGTACACTAGCGACATCTCCCTGTATATCCGCGGCCCTTTAATCGACAATAGCGCGGCGGTATTTTTCACGCGAAGTAGCCTGTCCATGCATAGGTACAAAACCTCACCCCGATTTCGCTCTTTGGCCAACCAATTTCTTGAGAGAACCCGGTCAAGTACCTAGGAGTTATGCACAATAGGAAGCTGTCATTCAAAGCACACGTGAAAACCGTCCGCGATCGCGTTAACTTTGTCACGAGCCGCTTCCACCCCCTTCTCAACAGCATGGTAAGCTCCCTCCGTAATAAGGTAAGATTGTACACGACCTGCATCCGCCCAATTATGACCTACGCCAGAGTCGTATTCGCACAGGCGAATCCCGCTCTCATCCACCGCCAGCAGGCTCTCCAAAATAGATTCATGCGCAACGCGATGCGCAACGTACCCCGTGGTACCTGCGCAACGCTAACCTCCACATAAATTTATGAAACAGGCATCGAGGAAATACTTTGACTCTGCTCCTCACCACCCCAATCCCCTCGTGGTGGCTGCATGTAATTACGTCCCCCTCAGGAAACTGGGAAACAAACTCTCACTACGTTAAAGGCCAACCAGATCGCATCTCACTCCCAATCATCTCATAACGACTGTCCTCGACAGCGAACACGCAGAAACCCCCATTTCAGCACATACTCCTGTAGATTCTTTCCTATAGCACGCTTTTCTGGCGCAAGTCCCCAATAGCGCCCCAAGCCGATGCCCTATGCCCACTTGGGCGGCCTCAGGCCCGCTACTTAGTATTAGTTTATTTTTAAAGGGTTCAAAACTGCAGCTCGCCCATTTATCCGGTGGCGCAGTCAAGGCCATAACATCTGTTCGCTTCGAGCGTTCCTGGCTTTCGCACTACGGAACCGGTTCACTCGACTTGAATCAGCTGCCTGGTTGTGCAACCCATATCCGTAGCACGGACAGGGCCGAACGGTCACCTCATTTAGTAACGCGTGTTAATGATTAGTGTGCGATCATCGATCACGATCCGTATCCGTAACGCGGAAAGGATTTTATTGCCTATTGTTTTAAATTCATGTACTTGCTTATTACTTTTAATCATTCATATTAGTTTGGCATATGCACATCATTATTTTGTAATGCTTATCTAACACCATCACCCTATATTACTTTAACTACATTAAAACATTTTCTGCTTCTAATTCTCTATTAGGCGCTCCCCGCCAGCTTACGTCCTATTATTTATTTTTTAACCGACTTCAAAAAAAGGAGGAGGTTCTCAATTCCACTGTATGTTTTTTTTGTATGTATGTTACGCGATAACTCCGGTATTTGTGAACCGATTTTCATGTACTGTACTGAGATTATTAGATATCAACCTTGCTTCGGACTCCTTACCCTTACATCTAGTTTATAAACCGTGCCTTTTAGTATTAAGTTCCCCTCCCTTGCTCTATAAATGTTGCTCACGTTAAAGTTTGACTGTGGTTTTCGTTACAGACTTTCTAGCTTCAACCCCACTGTAATGAAATACCTTGTACAGCGTGCATTTATGCGACTTAGATCCCAAAAAAATACTTCGTTTCCTATGTGTAACGATCGCGAAAACCTATGACCTCTATAGAAAGTGTTTTTGTTTTGTTCCTTAGACGATCTATGTACAAATATTTGATTGCAGTAGCACCAGATTTTAGTTTTTATGACGTATATTTAATACTAACCAAGTATTTACTAAGTACTAAGTACTTGAAAAATTTACTTTATGACCGATCTGAATCGGTAAACAGTAATACAATATGTTCACTTTTCCCTTATTGTTGTTGTTCGGAAATTGAATAAGAAAAACATTTTTTGACGTTCTACGTTCTGAGAAAAGACAAGATAATATTCCTAACAACATCTTGAAATGCGTAAGAGCACTGAACCGTAAAATAGTCCTGTGTACATTACGATCTACAAAAACAAGTTCTCCAAAAGGACACTTTGTTGGACGGATGTTTCGATATTACTTTCTATAGTACGTTGCTTTTTTCAAGGTGTGATTGAATTGTTGTATAAGTTTCTTGACGAAAACTTCCTGAAGGAAGAGAAGTTGTCCTAAAAACATATAAATTATTTGCTCAACGACAAGGAAACTACAATTTAGTAGAAACTTGTCTTATTTATTCTCTGCTATTATGATCTAAAAAAGTGTGTAATAACGATCCAATGTTTGTATTGTACTGAAATATATTGCATGTTGTAGTTATTAATGTATTATTTACCGGAGGCATATAGGAATGTTCACTCTTTAGCATAAAAGCGAAGTGCATTATCGTGAAACGCACCGTACACACCCCCGAAAGCTAGGCCTTTCGCACTATACGTCTGATTGTGGAGTACTCACTCAGAGTGATCATATTGACATATTCTCTGATAGAGATGAATATAATAGGGAGCTCGTAAACTATTTTATTATTCAGGCTCAGTGATAACTTTGTGTCCTAAACTCAGACTATATGATTATTTGAATTTTAATTCGGAACTTAATCACATATTAGATTATGAACATATTTTAATTACCACGACGTTTCGCACATATTGCAACGTCCATGATCTCGAAGGGACTGAAGAGGCGTCGAGAGCGAGGAGATTCTACGTTAAAACTCACCATTATATCGTCCGATTCCAGCTTACTGTCTTTGAGAATATCTATTAATTGACGAGAATCCCTCACAAAGAACGACGTTCCACCTACAAGCGATTGCAGTACTGATGCAATATGTTTTGCAAGATGGTAAGTGGGGGAGGCAATTTGACTTACGATTGGCTGCAAAGGCACACTGGTTTTATGTACTTTAGGCAATCCGTACAGTCTCGGCGGTTGCACTATTTTAGGCCTATACAACCGGTCATAAACGTCTTCCTCGAACAACTGTCTATGATCTCTGATGACTGCTCTTATACGGCGAGTGACCCTGGCAGTAGGGTTGCATGAGACAGGCTTGTACGAGAGTGTCATTTAATAAAGGTTGTATTTTGCTATCGTAACCAGCAGACTCCATCACCACAGTGGCATTTCATAATTTCTTAATTAAAATATCTCTCTCTTTCACCGCGTCGAAAACGCGCGCTCATGTGAACGGCAGTACGACAAACCTATGATCTCAAAGCGCGCTTTAACGCGCGTTGATAAGTGCTCGGAGTTAGCGCGGCGTTGTAAACACCTGCAACGATTTACGTACATACAAAATTCGGTAAGTTATAAGCACGCGTTAGCGAAACTTTCCTTACACGCTCGTCATGTAGCTCATCTACCACTGTCCAGTCAACCCGTGACCATGGAGCGTATAACCAAAGAGCGTTCCAAAATATCGAGAAAATAAAAAAACTCGTACCGTAGTAAGAAAACTGTAATTAGTTTTTTTTTTTATTTTTGTGCACTGTTTTACATTTTGTTTATTTTGTGCTGTTCTTACTTCTTTGACATTGTTTAATGTATAATTTTATTTCTGTTGCTATTTATTGGCATTTTTACTTAATTTTATTTGACGAATTATATCACTTGAATTTATGACATTATTTAACTTCAATTTAATTTTAATACTTGCGTGCCAGTATCTGGTGCAACACGTGTTCTTGATACCTTGTATAAAAATATCTTTTGTTACCGTGTTTGCTTGCGAATAAAATATTTCATTTCATTTAGCTATAATCATAGAATAGTAAGCTGAATTAAAAATATTTATAATTATCTTTTATGACATGCAAGCGCGTTGGGTATTTAGCTGTAATAAATAAAATAAAATAAAAAATCCTCCAATTAAAAATAAAACGAACCATAAACACGGAAATGAAGAATTAAAATAGAATATCTAGAGAATAACCATAAACAAAACGGCAACGCTATTACGTAACATCCTTTTTTGAAATAGATTGGGAATTCCATCCCAACAGGAAAATACCATTTTGCAAACACAAAACTGAGTACAGACGACACAAACCTAAATACCTTGTAAGTAAACGAAGCGCAATAAGTAAATAGCATTTTCTGCTTTGAGGCAATTTCAAAACAAACCGGCGATGAAAAAAGTCTAAACAACTTTTAACGGATTGCCATTGTTTGTGCGAGAACGAAATTATTTTCTTTGTTCTTTGTATCGTTATGAAATGTACCTAAAACACGACGTTAAAATTTAAGTAACTCAGTCAACGTGTTCGTTATGTTGTTTGAATCATGCTAATAATTTCGGTTGTCTAATTCATGTAACTGTTAACAATGACTAGGTACTTATTTAATGAAACATTACTTAGTTATATTAAATATTACGTTTAAAAAGTTACTTTCTTGTAATTCAGTAATCGGCGAGTACCTTACGCCGATTGGCAAATCCTTTCACCACGACGCGAAGCATTATAGTGTATGCAATCGATATGATAAAAAGAAGACATTTAAAATTATAGGTACTACAACTACTAAAGCAATATAAAACGATAAAACGATACATATAAACGATAAAAGTAACAAAATGTTAGTGAAAAATATTTCAATTGATAACGTAGCGGAAGTAATCAATTTATTGGACTCAACTGACAAATCGATTGATTAGAAATCATTATATAAGGGCTAGGAGACGATTGTCGATTGCACTCTATTGCGACTCAGTCGCGGAATCACTTGTTCAGTCTATCACCAGTATCTAAATCGAGTAAGTTATTTATTCAGTATTATGCGTAGTGGATCACAGAACGAAATTTTTGAATTTACCTAAATAAAAAAAAATGCAGTCGGAACGAAGGAATTGTTTCTTAGCGTTCGATCTTTTCATTATTAGTTATAAAAAGAAACATGTTAAATAGTATCTATCCTTTATTAAAAAATAATTATTTATATAGGCGTGAGCTTTTTAAAACAATTTCGTCAAATACAAAGACATGGCAGATACTGTGGGTGTAACGTACAAAAATCACACTTTATACCTCTCTGGTGGCATAAAGCCTTTTAGAGCATGGGCCATCAGTAAGACGTATATGAATAAATAATAAGTCCAAGTCTCGAATAGAATACCTAGTCCATTATTTCCAAAAAAAAATCATATTCGACAACCAAAACCCTGCAGAAGTTCTGTATTAATATGTAGGTAGTACATGCAATTGAGTATTTAGAGCTCTAAATATTTTTATAGACAATTATATTCACGGCAACCGTGTATGGTGATCTTCGGTGGTGATCCTTTGTCATATCAATTTATATTATTTCATTAATTTTATAGTTGACTTATTTTTTTACAGACCAATGGATCACAGACCGCCTCATCATCACCCCCATTACCCTCATCCTCCTCCCAACCACTATCCTCAACACCCCCCACCTCCCCCGTGTGACATTCAACACCATCCATATCCCCCACATCAGCACCCCTACCACCCTCCACCTCCCCCGTATGATCCCAACAACAATCCATATCCCCAACACCAGCATCCCTACCAACCCATACAACCCCTACAAGACCATCATCATTATCCTCCACCTCCGTTACAGCGATGATAGAAGTCGATACGATTACGGAACATCTTGCGATTTAGATATAACGTTATATTTAACCTAATCAATATCACTACCACTGCCTACAACATTCCCCGCCCTTCCACTACCTACGATGCCATTTTTATTTTGGTATACTAAAAAAAATGGCTATCAAATGCTGACTAAGCTATTTGGATACGACGATAATATTTTTGTCATTTAAATATATGACACAACATAGATGACGCAGACACCGCCGTCAGCGTAGCCGAAAACCGCCATGTGCTCAAATAAGCCAATCTAAGCCAGTGCTACAGATTTATGCCTCTAAAAGTGGAAACCCTGTATCCGTGGGGGCTACAGGCAGAACTCCTCGCTGCGGAGCTTTCAGTTCGCCTCGTTGAAGACGGTGACCAGAAGGCTGACAGCTACTTCCGCCAAACAATAAGTTTAGCTATACAACAACTCAAGAACAAGATGTCCCTTGTCGCTGCCTTCGAAGATATTATCTTTTAGTTAATGTAGAAAATTCTTTATTTTTTCGTGTATATGAAGAATATTTTTATATTATTTTGTATATTCATTCCTGATTTTAACTGCAACTAACAAAAATTTAAATATAAAATAAAATTTATTTCTTTATTAAATTATTCATACAAAGATAGAACACAAAGAAAAATTCCTACGATTTGATAAAACAATTTGATATTCAATAAAATCAATATTTATTTATTCATAATCAAGATTACCCAATTGCTGTCTAATTGTAAAAGATGTTTGGACTATTCTCGTACAGTTGTACACCCATATCTTGTCGATATTGCGCCATTTTGTTCTACATATAGTTATTTCCCAAAGGTGCAATTGTATTTTACACACAGCAACCTGGCGTGTAAAAGTCAGCATCTTAAAAATATTTTTTTGTACTTATAAAAACTTATTTTTTTTATAAGTCTACGATTTATTTAATATGTATCACAAAAAATCCTACAACTTAAAGTTTGTTATTGATTACTACATGTTGTTTTGTTCATTATTAATAACATAATTCTGAAATTGAGCAATTAGAATGAGTAGGTTATTAATGGATTACGATAAAGTACCCGTCGTCTTATAATTGTGTGTAAATTGTTATTGATTGCGTGAATCCCGTCAGACTCTCATGTTTACCCTTCTCCTCAGAGTCAATAATAATTCGTGCGATATCAAATAGTTTCGTTCAGTATCCAAGAAAGTTAGAGCGTTTACGCACTGCGTCCGATTCGTATCAGGGGGTCTACTCTCTTAATGAAACAATTACTGCCAAATAAACAATATTTGACCAAATGAAAAGACGCGTGATGCGAATGAAGTTTCATATTTGATACTTGTCTTTTAATTTTGTCGAATAATACTTATTTGACAGTAATTGTTTCGGATGGATGTCGGACGGAGATCGAGAGTAGACCCCCAGTTCCGAATCCATACAAAATCACGATCCGAAATGTCGTAAGGATCATTTTATCTCTTTGCGATATAAGCGACATCCGAAGTGGGTCCGAATTTTCTAGATTTGTATAGCCTCGGATTCGGAACTAATACGAATCGGATGCAGTGCGTGACAGACGAATAACCTTCTTAATAAATTGTGCAATGGAAAAATGAACATCCATTCTGCATACGTTGAATAACGTAGTAACCTACAGCATAATGCAGCTACCAATTATCATCATCAATTCTCACTACTCAATTTACAATATACCACGGGTATGCAATTCTCGACTGTCTATATCTATGTTAATTAGTGGCATTGGCCAATGGGTATCGAGAGATTGAGAAGCTTAACAAAGCTTTATTGTGAACATTTCTTCTTAAAATGATTACGAACGCTACATGAGTGGCACGGAATGCAATTATTTAAAATGGAATAATAGGCCAAGAAATACATGAGGAGCATCCGGTTTCAAGTCCCGGTTGTTTCTTGTTTCTGGTCTTTGTGTTCTAATTAATGCCGTGCTGTTAGAAATATTTGTATGGCCTACATTTATTTCTCTCGTGAGTTTGGGTTTCATTTGTTATTGTTTATATGTGTGTCCATGGCACCCGCGACACATGGTTAATTAACCCACAAAAAAATTAATTACCCCACTACAGGTATATTAGTACAAGGGAAATCTCAAATTTTGAAAATGAAATCAAATATGTAATTCTAGAATTCCAGAATCAAGCGCCGTCTAAACCATTCTTTATATTGGATTATCCTTAGATTCGATATTTATTTAACGCATTCCAAAAACTGTTTGTAACTGGTGTACTCTCGGTATTCTGTGAAATATCGAATCAATACCAGACAAAAAATTTCACAACTAAAAAATACGGAAAAATAATGCTATAAATATCCTGTACGTGAAGCGTAGATATATGAGCGTTAAAACGGCTGCCCACAGTCCTCAACAGGATTTAAGAAATTAGTCAAAATGGTGAATCAACTTGAAAATTTCAATTAGCTAAACAAATAATGAGTAATGAACGTCACGTGTAAGTTATTAGTAATACGACACCAAATGATAACATATCGTATATTATCGATTTCTAGAAACAAGACTGATAAACAGAGTAGTTGAAAAATATCATAAAATGGCTGATGAACGCATATCGGTGCCAGTCTACTTTGAATAAGACGTGAATTCGCTTGTTCAGTTTGTTGATTATTGAACTCTTTGTTTTATAACCAGTACCTGAAGTGTAAACACTGGTAAGTTATTCATTCTATCCTATATGCATAACTCACAAGGCGTAATGAATTTTAAAATCAAAATTGGTTTTGGTACTGTGGCATCCGGGAGTCACGCGATGACACTAACGTGCAGCTATGTTTTCAACCTGCACTATTTAAATATATGTATAAAAAATAAATTACCAAAATTGTTGGGGACACCTTGTGCCTCTTGGTCACCGGACGTGTTAAAAACGGTCGTTTCTTAGACTCTTCATATTTTAGTATTTTTTACTTTTATTTCTACTTTATCTATACGATTTTAAATACTTACTATGTAATTGTGAACATTGTAATTACAGAAAAATATATAGTCGAATACTTTTTTCCAGAAAAAGAAATGCATCCTCCGTGCGGCCCAAGCTGCGGCAAGACCTTTTGCCTACCACATTGCTACCACCGCTACAAAATAGTAGTATACCCATCTCCTCCACCACCGCCACATCACCACTATCCTCATCCCCCACATCACCACCATCCCCATCCCCCACACCACCACCCGCATCACCCACCACATCCCCCGCATCATCATCACCACCAGTATCCACCGCACCTCCACTGCCCGCCACACCACTCACCAATGCCATTTGAATATCGACGATAGAATTTTGGTAAAATGAGGCGATTAAATTACCATTGAACTTCTTGCGATCTTGACATGACGATATTGTTAAAGTAATCACCATCAATTCAATGTTGTTATTAATAAAGGCCAAAAACATTGACATTCATCTTCAGACAAACTCGTAATTTCTTATACTTATTATTACGGGTTCACATTTCTTATTTAATTTTTTTATCAGTTAAAATTTCATAAATAAAAAGCACAAGACTTATGATGACAGTTCAAACTGCCATTAGAAATGTCATATACTTCTCGTAATATTTTAGAATTATGTAAATGCATTAGTATTGTATAGTAAACTATTGATCTGTGTTGTTTAAAAATGATCATCTAACAATGTTATTTAAGGCTGAAAGGTATGTAATTTTGTACAGTATGCATTTGTATCTCTAAATATTAAATATTGAATAAACTTGTTTTGGAACTTAACTACGCATTTCCATTTTATGTCCGATAAGAAACAAATCGATCAATATATAAGATATAAATACTCAATCGCAATATTGTTTATTTCTCATACCTTTTATCATCATTTTATCACAAGTAAATTAGTCACAATGTACGTATCGTGTAACAATTAAGCACAAGTACCATAAATTGTGTAAATCATTAATAAATAATAGATTCCGAGAAATAGCTATTTCATGTAGATGTTAATTGGTATTGTTTTGAGGCTTTGTAATCTACAAAAGTCAAACAAAGCACAGACACAAATTAATTACAAACGAATTACCTGCTCATTTATGCTATAAAACAGACGAACATCTATCAATTCTAACTTAGCAAATAACTCTAAACAGTTACCAATTTATCTCTGCGGTTAACATAGTCACATGTCAATGAACAATGCAAGTGATTGAATTTCTTTCCTACTGAATATGTAAGTTTGTACGGTACTGTAATTATTTTAGCGTTGCTTGCCCAGTGTGTATCGGAGGCCAAATAAAGCTCTTATTAAGAAAGTTTTTCCTCATAACAAGATTACGACCGCCAGATGTGTGGGATAGGGTAGAAGTGTAAGAAACGGAGAATTCGTAGATAGAAGGAATTTTAGATAGAACACAGGAAATAATTTACTTTCTATTCACCGTTACAAAAATTAAAGAATGGTTCTGCAATATAAAAAAAATATTTAGATTTTCCTAAGCCTGACTCTGGCTCATCACTTTACAATTATACTTTGAAAGAAAACCTTGTATAAAATTCCTAGCTAGTTTTGATATACAGCCACATGTTGTAGATATCTCATATTTATATTTTACAACAAGATACAAGCACCCACGGAAATGGGGTGCACGAAATGAGCCTCCCTGCACGACGTACCATTGCTTTCCTATACGTCGGGCGTACCCTGGGCTACAATCAGCGATTACCTTACGCCGATTAGCAAGTAGGATATGCCGACGATACATTAAAAAGACGGAAATATTACTCCCTCCTTGCAGGACTGCCAGAGGTCCCGGGTTCGATTCTCGGGCCGAGAGAAATATTTGTATAGCCTACATTTATTTATCTCGTGACTTTGAGTGTAATCTGTGGTTGTCTATGTGTGTCCATGGCACCTGCGATACAGGGTTTCCCTAGTGCAGGGCTATGAGTACGTGCGTTATTATGGGTATTATTATTATCTACATAATAAAAGTCGTTCTATCCAAAACAAGAAGTCTAAAGTCAAAAATCAGTATACCTGAACACAGTTAACGCCATTCTTGTCACGAAAACCGAATAGGTACGTCTTACTTTTTAAATCCAAAGACCTGAGACCCGTCACCTTGAGACATAGTCGACAAGTCCCACGTGCCTGTAATTTCACCAGCACCCTTACCTTTCAAAATCTAAACGCATTAATGCTGGAATACTAGAAATAATACGTCCTGGACGAACTATTTCACAAGGAGGTCTACTGCTACTAAAATCTAAACTTACTTTCTTCTTAGGCACCATTTCTTCAGAAAACACCACGTTAAGGTGAGGCCGGGAGGTTGTACTGTAACTGTATTAACAAGAATGAGTACTTTAAAGACAACTATTTATAGTAGGAATATAAATCTTCCTGATCGCATGCACAGTCAGACAGTGTCAAAACCAAAACGTTATTTGAATTTAAAGCCAAAGTGCAAGAATATGAAGAGAGTGATATTCAATCTCAACAGTACCTTCGCAGTCGCATCGCTGCCACAGTCTGTAGCAGAAATATTTCTTTTAAATTCCCTACTATTAAGACGAATCTTGACAAAATGGACCTTGATTTTGATCACGTAGGGCGACTTAAACTCCTTTCTAAGAAAAGAAACCCATAGGTGGATTTTGAGGCTTTCGTGGTTTTTCACTTTATGATTATCACAAATTACAGGTTTCTTACGACACCATTGTCGAGTTGACAGTCAACCCGTGACCACGTAACTGATCCGAAATATCGGGAGAATGAAAAGATCACTTCTCTCACACCTTGGTAAGAAACCTGTAATTTCGGAACTGGACACGTATATCCTTAAATCCCTATATCATTAACGTATATCATTAAGTCACTATATTCTAAATTTTAACCATTTTTTAGATCTCTTACTAAGCCAAGACTTTCTCGTCCTTGTAAAGTTTGTTTTAGCCACTGTCACACTTAAGCGTAACTTTTACAACGTCGAAAATATAAATTGGGAAACGGTGCTCCATGCCGGCACCGTCCTACCCTCTCTCCTAATTTAGACGACGGTGTACTAGTAGTTATTCGCCTTATTATCTCTTCACTTGCTGCGGCTAATGTCTTCCTCATTTATAGTAAAAACGCTTTCGTTTTACCTTCACCTAAGTCAAAGTCAAAGAATCTTTTTTTTTAATTCAAATGTAAATGTGCATTTGACCTCCGTCTCACCTGACGGAAAGTGACCATGAGGTCGACGATGGAACATGCACACCTAAATAATGCCTATGCACTCTCGCCTTGAAAAGGTCCAAGTTATAACGTTCAGGGAACAAGTCTGCAGACAGGGAATTCCACTCCATAGCCGTTCGCCATATAAATGTGGAAGCGTAAGGTTTCGTGCGAATCTTTGGAATATCCACAACATAGGGGCGGCCATAGCCAAGTCCCGGTCATGGAAAGGGGAAGGCGAAATTAAATCATGTAATTCCATCGTACACTATGATATATACAGTAAAATACCGATAAGCAGGCAACTTTACGACGGTGTTCAAGGCTCTACAGGTTCGCCTCTACTAATTCCGAGTCGACTATAAGCCTCTTGGCACGCAATTCATTTATTCCATAGGTAAAATAAATGTACACTTGGATACGTCATATTTAAGCTACTGCTCGATCACATCTTCTCGATCGTTTCGATCGCTCGATCATTTTCCATACATCTTTATGTAACACGTAGTCTACAATTTTGTAGACTAGGTGTATAACTTTTCAATCAAATCAAATCAAAATATTGACTTTCATTAAAAATAGACAACACCCAATCCCTGTATATCCTACCTATATATCACCTCGTTTCAATATTTCATGTCCTCGTCAAAATCCTGAAAGATGTTCTACACAAACAACTTACTCTTACCTCTTTTTCAAACCCTCTTTTGTGCCATCCAGTCTTGTTTCCATTTATCTTTTTTATATATAAAATTGACAGACACGTCGCCTATACATTTAGCTCATATACGCATTTGTCTGGTGGTACGCAACACGCCTATCTGTAACAGTTGAAGTGCCACTCAGAGCGTTAAATCGTAAAGATCTTAGGGGCACTGCCACATAATTTTACAAGTCCCATGTGTGTGCCTATAATTTCACCAGCACCCTTACTCTTCCAAACTGGAACGCAGTAATGCTCACTTTACTGCTTGGCGGCAGTAATAGGTAAGGTGGCAATACGTCTCTGAACTCTTTCACAAGTACCTCTACTGCTAATAAAGTATGATTATTTTAACGATTAAAATACTTGAATTGAATATTCTGGAAACACAGAGCGAAGCACTTCGAACGATTGCCAGTTTTCTGCGGTGGTCAACATTTTTTAGCTTCGACTTTACAAGGGGGTCGTTGCTAATAAGTCACTGATACTTAATAGTATGAGTGCTTTTCACTAAATAATCTTGTTGCTGCGGATGATACTAAATTGACCATTGTCACCGCACTTAATTAAATTCGACATTCTTCTCGCCAAGATAAGTGTCTTCATTTTACTCGTACTGTAATCGTGTGGTTCCGGTCTTACTGTACACGACTGTGCCGATATGTGCCACTTGGATATGACTAAAGAATTATTTAACATGTTTAGGCAATGCCAAAACCCTGTCGTTAGGTTCATCTTAGGAAGGATGTTCAAGTTTTTGAATATCATATTCGCCTCAAATGGCTTCCCATGTACTGTGCTCACTCTCTCTCTCTTTTATAAACAAAATATTAGAAAGTCTGGCATTCCTGATAATCTCAGTCTCACTTGCTTCACACCGATTTTCGCTCTATTAAGATGCGCGAATGTTAGGAAGCTTTTTCTACATTTTGTCCATTTATAAAATCCCATCAATTTGTTATCGCTCCGAAAGATTTCCATCCATCCATTTGTGGCAGTCCTGACATTGTCACAGCAAATGACTTACTTGGATTTTGAGTACAAAGAATGTAAACAATATATCTATCGACGATAATGAAACTCTACCTTCCATATTTATATTTGAATTGTTATCAAAATTGATATTTCCCCAACTGTTAGGTATTTTCGTGATATTTTCACGAAATATCTATGTTTATTTATCGCTTTACAAAACATGTCAAATGATACACTATCACAATCACTCAATTGGTCTACACGACATGTGACCGACAAAAATATTAAAATAGGTACATACATGTACCTATTTTATTATTTACAGGTCGTAAGATTTAAAGAATTACGAAGTTTAAAAATATAGTGCAACAAAAACTTTACACTAAAGATTATTTATTATACAATTTATTCGTACTTCCATTATTAATCCACGATAGTAAGTAAACGGATCTAGAAGGTCATTCGCACTCACGTAGTACACCCGTCATCTTGATCTATCACACTTGAAGTAAATATTGTAAATGATAAATGTATACAAACGTTTATTTACAAAGAGCAACTGCTAGTGTTTCTTATTCATTATTCTCAGGGGAATCTGCCTTATGAATGAGTAGTAGAGTTTAATCAATGTAACGATTTCAAGTGTAATTTGCTTACGTACCTAATAAATCCCTATATGACAAACTGACGTGGTCAGCTAATGTTAA